GCTTTGTTTCTGGACTTCAGAGTTTGTAAAACTCCTCAGTCTGGCATAGATTGGAGCTCGTACTCAGGACTTGGTTATCTCTGTTGCACTAGCTGAGCTCCTAATTGCACGCAAATTGACTTCAGTTTTCCATATGAGTAATTTATTTTCATTTCTTAAAAAGGTGAATGGGATTTGTAGTTGGTGTCAGCAAAATCCCAATGTATTAATCCATTTCATTATTGTCCTCATTCAGGAGTGTTAATTAAAATGTGGCTCACTGGATTTCAGCAAAAGTACATACTCCCTGTCTACATGTCAGATACTTCTTATAATTCCTATCTATGTCCATTTATATAAGGGAGCAACATCTTCTGAAGCCCAGGCCTGGGTGCACAAAAACCTAAACAAGCATGCATATCAATTACAGGCATCAGTTAGCAGTGGTGATTATAGGGCCAAGGGGCACAAAACCAACAGAACCAGGACTGAGAATTCATATCAATAATCAAGACTATTTGAAGCTAATACAGTATTCAATTTGATTGTCATAACAATAATCAATCCCAGTAACTTTCCTGACCACCTCTCAAACTGCAATCATAAAAATATTTCAAAAGCCAGACCTTTAATGCATACAGAATGATGCACCCTTTTTACTTAATTCAGTTTCTCATTTTACAATTCTTTAGTTGCTGGTACAGTGTTCTTATTGTCCATGCTGTTCAGTCGATTGATCCTCGCGCACAGAAGGCTTATGAAACCCTTAACCCTGATGAACTGACAGCTACCTGACCAATGGACTGACGTCCGTGGAGCGCTTCCCCATCAGCTTCAAGACGCAGTTCTCAGGGAACTATTTCCACCACGTGGTGCTGGGCGTGTACTGCAACGGGCGCTATGGGTCTCTGGGCATGAGCCGGCGGGCTGACCTGATGGACAAGCCCCTGGTCTTCCGCACGCTGTCCGAGTTAGTCTTTGATTTCGAGGAGTCCTACCGGCGCTACCTGCACACGGTCAAGAAGGTGAAGATCGGCCTCTACGTGCCTCATGACCCCCACGTCTTCCAGCCCATCGAGTGGAAATATCTGGTGCTCAATTCCAGCAAGGTGAGCCGGGAGGACATGCGCAAGGAGCTGGAGAAGCATGCCAGGGACATGAGGATGAAGGTCAGTGAGACTTTGCCACCAGAGAAAAATAGAGAGAGGTATGAATTTGTGGGAAGTTTTTCAGGAGTGGCTTTGATGGTTCTGTTCAACTTTGGTTATATATAAACCCCAAGACTGCAGTTATCATGTTTTCATTTTCCCCACCAGAGAAAAGCAATTTTGTTTCTTGCACATTCATCACCATCATTGAATATTAGTATAGCAGATGAACTTTTGAACTAAAAAAGCTGTGACGTATTGGTTTAAATGAAAGCAAATCTTGCAGCAAATTAAGATCTTGTCTCTGTAGATGCTTATTTGCCAGTGCATGAGCTCTTCTTAGCTTGTGGATAAACCCTCTTGTTTTCAGAAAAAAAGTATTTACCTAGTAATTCATCAAAGGGGTGCTACTGGGGGAATACAGAAGATTTTCTCCAAAGGTATCTGAAAAAGAAAAATGATTATCTGAAAATATGTTATGATCACACATATCCATTCATTTTAAATAATTGTTTTTGAAGTCATAAAGACCTGGGCAATTCAATGGCTCCTTAAAACATCTGAGATGCAGCGTTTTTTCAGGAATCCCAAAATAAAAAACATACAGGTTTTAGTCTGATCATTAAGTCAGTCATGAAATTGTCATGTCATTCACTGCTTTAATATCTATTTGATAAAAATCCTCAAATTCCAATGATTCTTAGATGACTCTTAAAAGTGCTTCCGGCAAATAATGATCATCAGAAACATATTTCAGTGGCTGCCTAGTGCCAGCTGTCTTCAGGAAGGTAACTTGAAGCTCACAGTTTATTTTAGATTAACAAATCATTGAGTGGTAAGCTGTCATTTCTGGGCTGCTGCTTGTTTCTTGCTAGCAAAACAAATCCTGCTAGTACTGTTGCACTGTATATCGGCCATTAACTGTCAAACTGCTGACAAACTTCCAAGCTCTCAGAATTTGGTAATGGTAAGGGAGCCCTTCTAAGGGTCGGGGAATGTAACAGCAAACTCGGTTATTCCTGATGAAAATAGCAAGGAATCAAAGTTTTGTAGTGCAATTTCAAATTATCCTTGGTTTAATTCCAGGGTTAACTGCTGAGTATGGAGGAAACTTTTATGTTAAGGCTGATCGATACAAGTGCCTTTTGAAAATGTCTCTCCATTGAACACTTTGCATCCAAAACAGATCAATTTTTTCCCCAGGCGATTTTTCATCTTACAGTTGAGTGTTATTAGGATCATGTGTATACCGCTAGCATTCTAATGTTCACACTAGAGTGATGAATTTGAAGGTCTAGGTTGTATTTGTCAGCCATCTTCACATCTTCATTTACTCCCACATAAACAATAAATTCAAATAACTTCACAAATTCCTTGGTATATTGCAAATTCCTCTTAAGGTTTCTACTTTTCTCAGCATCTCAGAGGGTGTATACCTTTTTTCATTTCTCCCCCCAATATGCAATAAAAAAGAGCAAGCTTCTCCTAAAATTAGCACAGAATGAATATATATTACCTTTTTGTTTTTGTTTTTCTTTAATATAGAACAGACATCCATATGTTTCTGCTTGCTCAGGGCCAGTTGCTCCACACAGAAAAACGTGGTGTTTTGTCAATGACGAGTTTTAAAAAAACTCTCTCTCATCCTTTACTTTTGTTTCATTCATATTGGATCTAATCTGGAGGTTGATATCTTCATTTTAGGAACTGCTCTTGACTGGATTGTTTAAGCGTACAATGGTTTTTAATTGACTGTGCTTACAGAACAATTGTTAGTAAGCAAACATCTTAAAAGGGTCCCAATTTCTCAGACTAGTTATTAAATCATGGTAACAAAATAAATTAAAAGATGATGTCACAAAATTTTACAAATTTTGAATTAAGTGTAAAATTGTGAACTTTGTGAAAGTACTGTATGGTCACCATGTTTGGACGAGAGCAACAGTTCTCGCAAATTGCAACGTGAAAGCAGCCCTTCCTGCTCCCTAGTCGCTGTAAGCAAATGAAGTTTCCTAACAATGTTAATTATTTTGAGTGTATTTGGGTGATTGCTCTTTTTTACAATACTTATACAAGGAGACATGTTTTTTAAATACTTTTGTGTTGATTAATGAAAATAATTTACTATCAATATAGCAGCAAAATATGCATGGTCTAAAGCATGTTTACAATGTAATAGGGCTGCTTTCACATCACTGGAAATTGTGTACTCTTATTCTGAATAGGAGGCAATGACAGCAATATGGCATTATGCACTCATTGAAACTTCTAGCCTTTTCGTCAGCTCGTTACTTGTGATGTAAATTTGTGGTTGTACACATTACTGTGTACTTGGTAGTTTCATTGTGGTCTGAAATGCACTCATCATTGCCGATTCATTATAACCCTGAAATGTGAAAATAGTGCTGCAGTTCCCCTTTAAGACAGAAACTAATTTCTAGTAAAGCTTTATTGAAGCACAGGGAAATGCGAGTTCATCTGAAGTGCAAGCCTGAGGCACGTCTGTGGCCGTGAAGCCTGCGCTACTGCAGTGAGGGGACTGGAGTTGGCTAGCGTTCTCCTCGGCTCGTCGTGACGTGTGAGGGGACTTGCTGAAAGCACCTGTTCTTCTCCCTGACAGATCCTGAAGTCCTCCATAGCACAGTCTCCAGTCAAAGAACGTACCAGAGGCAAGTCTCTGTCTCCATGCCGGAGGCAGTTAAGCCCCCAAAGACGCCACCTACACAGGCGCGACAAATCGTAAGTCATTTCACCGCTGATTTCAGGTGTTTCAGTCTTTGAGAATACTAAATTAAATAAACAAATGGCTCACAGGCACTGAAATTCATTATTTATGAGCAACCCTCTTGCTCCTAAAGTATAAAGTGAGTTTTCTGTGAGTCAGTTTATTTCTTATAAATTACATTGCTTTCGGAATGAATGGAGACATTTACATTTGTCAGATTCTCATTAAATTTAGACACATCTAATGTGATTTGGAAAATTAAAGCATATAGCAGTATTATTAGTGTTTTTTAGGTTTAAGTACTTCACTATTGCAGACAAAACTACAGAGGGGAAAAATCAAACACAAATAGGTGATCATTTGTTTGTTTTATATGGTAATGCAAATGAGAATTTTTCTCAGACCCGTTCTTTGTAGATGAGGGCATTCATGAACAAACCAGAAGGCACAAGTGGAAACTAAATGCAGAGTGCATTTAAAAATGAGAACAGGAGGAACACCTTTACCCAAGGGGTTGTTGGAATGTGGAACAACCTACCCAGTCATGTTATTGAAGCCGATACCCTGGCTTCTTTCAAGAAACAGCTGGAAGAGATTATTGGCTAGATTAACCACTAAACAAGCTAGATGGGCCGATCGACTCCTTTCCTTTGTAGCTGTTTTTTTTGTTCTCCTGCTTTTCACTTCAGACTCTTGAATTTCTATGTCTTACATTCGGTCTGTCATGTCCATGAAGGTCAGGGTGGAGACCCGGGGAGGTCAAGGCCAGAAGAGGGTGCCTGGAGTTGGGCGTTGGGGTTCTTGCTATGCTAATGTTTGCACACATGCATGTCTAGTGCTTGGAACATCAGTACGTGTGTGAGGAATTGACTTTAGCATTAACAAGTTACGTCAAATACAGGATGTTGCATTAAAGGAATGTCAAGAATGTAACAGTTGATGAACTTGAGGATTTTTAAACTGAAAAATTGCAGAGCTTGAAATATTCAAGCTCTGACCACTGCTCCACCAGGCTGTCCTCCAGTACAGCAGTAGTATTTACAAGCTGCAATAAATGTCACTAGTCAAGTCCCAATTAGACCTTTTAGCCTTGTGGGTCACACTACACTTGTGGGTCACAGTGTACAGGTAATGCCTGAAAGGAATGCTTCATTGTTTTTCCCCAAGGAGCTAAATACATGTTGCTTGATGGTAGTTAATTCATTCATTGCAGTTCTAAATCTTTTATTGCAGGTTTGAGTTAAGAGATGTACAGTGCACATATAATTGCTAGTTGCTGAAACTCGTCCAAGTGGTGTTCTTCAGTGGTTTCTGATACGGACAGTGTATTACAATAATGGGGGCAATCGCAAAACAGAGACATATACTTCTCAGATGCTGACAGCAAAATTAGTGGGTAGCAGTCCCAGCAATCTAGTGATGCCACGTTAATGGTACCTCGCCATGCTAGATAGCACAAAGAGGCCGAAGTCTGTGACTGTCTCCTTCTTCCCCACCTGCTTGTAATTATTTATAAGCTATTCTTCAACACACATTAAGCATTCCACTTGCCATCTTTTCAGAGATGTTAATTAGGGAGATAATTTGAGCCCACTTAATCATAGCTCAGGCATGAAAGCAAGATGTCACAAAAGAGCTGCATCCCCTTTAATCAACAGGCAGTCTTTTTTTTCCCCCACAAGTACTCTAAAATCTTCACCTCTTTAAAACTCTGGCTTCCAGCTGGGCATCATCTTCAAGTTAATTCCAGGTTCGAAGTTACCTGTCATTAGTACCTTGCCTCAAGACTTAAGACACTAAATACACTTCTTTGTAAAATATATCATGAAGAATTGGGATTCAAGAAATGTACAGAAAACTGAAAACAATAAATATTTCTGGCTGTTTGTAAATCTTTACACTTTGTTTGTTCTGTGGTTTAGTATTACCCTACTGTCCATAATTGCTGTGTTGCTGGAACAGTTTAAAAAGTACAAAACATGCCTGTAAGCAATTATGCTTTTCGAATTAAAAATACATAATGAAAGGAGTCTATCAGCAATTCAGAATTGTTTTTAGAGCTCGAAAAGCATTTTGAGCTTTTCATTTGGGTAGAATGGATGCTATTAATACATGAACCAGTTCATAAAAATGCTAAGAATAGCTTTCTATAAAATGACAAAATGTATAGTTGCAGTGTTCTTAAAAGTCCCTTTGGGATCATCTGTGAAGATTCAATAGTTAGAAAGCACATCGCTTGGGATTAAAGAACATAACTGCTGTTACTCAGTTGTAAGGGAGGCTGAATGATAATGTTAATTGGGCACAGCCTTGGTGTGTGCTCTGTGGCACTGTTTAGCAGCTTGCAGTTTTTTATCACTTGAGTTTGTTTCTGTAAAATACAGCTAATGTCAGGTACAGGATATGATACAGTACATTCCAAATGTATTATGAGAAGAAGAAAAGGCATTCAAAGTGATGTAGGAAGAAAAGATGTTAAAGTGAATGAAATAATTGTAGTATTTAATTTTTCAATCAGCTGTCACCTCTGTTGAGAGTTTTGGAAACAATCGAGAGACTTTGACAAAAACCTCCATTGATATTTACGGCAAGGAAGGAACATGGGTAGTGGTCAGTGTTTCATATTTAAAAGTGTGAAGGAATGCGAGCATGTGGTCACATTGAAACCTGTGCTTCAGTTTAGAGCCTAGTCTTGTGGACACTCGCTAAAAAACAGGAATGGGTATTCCTAGTCCTGGAGAGCTGGTGCGTCTGTATGGTACTCATGTAGGTTTGTTGCTAAGAGCTCTGGTTTCCTCCCACCTTCCACACTCATCTTCCATCCATCCATTTTCTAACCACTTTATCCAAAGCAGGCTTGTGGGAGCCATTGCCTAACTAAGCAAGCAGTGGGTTCAAGTTGGGATACACCCTGAACGGGACACCAGTCCATTGCAGGGCACACACAGACATGTATACATTCACATCAGGGCCAGTTTTCCCAGAACCAAATTTACCTACCAGTATGTCTTTGGACTGTGAGAGGCAACTGGGGCACCTGGAGAAAACCCATGCAAACACAGGGAGAACATAAACTCCATGTCAGTATTTAACTGACTGGACGGGTGTTCTGAGCGGTGTGTAATCATTCCTTGCATTCTGTGTTTCTAGGATAGATTCTGTGTTGCTATGACCCTTACTAGTACAAATATACACAGATGTCGTTTCAAATGATTGTAGAGTATTAAAATGTAGGTTGCCAGCATTTGAAATTGTGCTGTTAATGCAGCCAAGGGCAATGCTGTGTAATCATTCATTAATAATACATTATTTCAGTGCAAGCAGAGTCCCAGACAGTCACTGAGACATCATTCCCTTACTGTGCCATTACAGAAACGAATCCCGAAGTTAGACTATGAAAAAAGGTTTCTTTCTTTTATTTTCCAAGCAGCTCTTGAAGCATAGATGGTAGTGTTTCCGTTAGTCTCTGGTATGGTTCTTTTGTTACAATCCACGGTTATTGATAAGTCTTTGCCAACTTCGAACCAACTTGGCCTTTATCCCTTTGGTTAGTGTGCTGCACTTTAAACAGGTGATTGTTATGGTCAAAATAAGAACCTGGGTCAAATTTCAGTTTTACCTCTGTTCTGCTTGAGCCTTGCTTGAAAACAATAGAAGAGTCTCACATGAGAGGCAACAATCAACAACACGTGCTTATTTATATCCTTATGTTAGCAGTGAGAAAATAATTTTGTTTAAGAGAAAAGAGTTTAAAATCTCAGGTTTGCTCAGGTTTCCAAACTGGCATGAGTATCCTTCAGGAGCTTTTTTGTTTTAGAGTGTGCCATGAGCCAGACTATTGCTTTGGGAGCTGTTGGCTTGCAGGCTCCAGTCTTCAGATTTATTTAATACCAAGCTGTCAGCACTGCACCTTTCACTGGGGCTTCACTTTAATGTCGTAGTAGACTGCAGTTTCTAAACATGTTTATAAACCTCCACATTGTATTTTAGCACAAGTGACAACTGTAGTTAAATTGTTATACCTCATTTTTTACAATTAAAGTTTACTTTTAGGTTTTAGTTTTCATGGAAAAAATATCAAATCATATGTGTAAACCAGTTCATAAAAATGCTAAGAATAGCTTTCTGTAAAATGACAAAATGTATAGTTGCGGTGTTCTTAAAAGTCCCTTTGGGATCAGCTGTGAAGATTCAATAGTTAGAAAACGCATCGCTTGGGTTTAAAGAACATAACTGCTGTTAGTCAGTTGTAAGGACAGCTGAATGATGATAATGTTAATTGGGCATAGCCTTGGTGTGTGCTCTGTGGCACTGTTTAGCAGCTTGCAGTTTTTTATCACTTGAGTTTGTTTCTGTAAAATACAGCTAATGTCAGGTACAGTTAAATTGTTATACCTCATTTTTTACAATTAAAGTTCACTTTTAGGTTTTAGTTTTCATGAAAAAATACCAAATCATATGTGTAATGCAGTTTGGCTTTTCACTTGGATTAATATAAAGAGGCATCAAAGTTTTTGATTTTGTATTACACACACTTCTTCTTAAAGAAAGGATTTTTCCTGTTTGCAAGAATAGTAGGATTGCTTTAGTCTTAATCTATGGCAGAGTGAGCAGAGCTGAGTCAGCCCCAGGTCTGTCTGCTCTGTGACATTTTTGCAGTGCATTACTGCTTACAGCTGCTTCAGGGGCTGTGTGCAGAGTGAGAATGTTGTGCTTTACTTTGGGTCAACAGTCTAGAACAGTGTGGGGAAAAAAGACAATGGGAATACCAGCCTTCCACAACAAAGACACTGTTTCATTTTGACCTCGGATGGGAAATTGTTGTTTGGCGGCCTTTGTCTTGCATGACACATTCTTTCTTTTGGTTTCCACTTCCCAAGTGTCCCAAAGCATCCACATAGATAGACATGGGCTGCTTTCCACAGTATCTTGTCATATCCTCCCTGGTCAACAAGAAACAAAAGAACATTCACTTGGTTCCTCTTGGAAATGAGAGGAATGGGGTGATAGAAACTAGAAAATCCCCTGCTGTACTGAGCTTACCCTCAGCAATGAGGTGACCCTCTAAGGAAGAATGAATCACCTTACAGTGGAATTCGGGAATGACATCCGCATGTGTGGAAACAGACATTAATACAATCAGTTGTGGTCTTTGACTGCAGGATGACCAATTTCAAATTAGCTTCATTCAAACTAATGTCTAAAAATGTTCAGGGAAGAGAAATGAGTAATGGAATATATAATGAATTTGTGCCCACTGAAGAACTGCTTACATTAAAAGGCTTATAAGTGCTGCAATTATTAGGGGATATATAAAGCCATTGATTATGCACCTTGACAACATAGACCTATTTTTATGAGTCATTAGGTTTATAAAAGGAGGATACCAGTATATCTTTGTCTCAGGTTGTTTCTGCTGAGCAGTCCCTCAGTATTTGTACAGTGGAAAGCAGTTGAGAAGTATAATTATAAAGTAAAATAAGAAGCATAAGAAAGTTTACAAATGAGAGGAGGCCATTTTACATATTTAGCTTGTTTTGGTTAGCAGTTAATTCATCCAAGGATCTTACACAGCAATCTCTTGAAAGATGCTAGGGTATCGGCTTCAACAACATGTCTGGGTATTGTTCCACTCCCACATCCCTTTAGATAAAGAAGTATTCCTGTTTTCAGTATTAAATTGTGTTCTTCAGAATTTCCACTTGTGCCCTCTGGTTTGTTTTTCACCTTGTTTATTCTTAAGAAATCTAATGGGTTTACTTTGTTAGTGCATTAGTACCCAAAACATGTCTGCCTGTTCTGTGCCAAAACTATTTAATACATATTTTTGTCCTTCCCCTGCCTGAGACATATTGACTTCTTCCTTGAAGGAACTCATGAATTACATACACATTTAGTATATCAGCTGTTTCCCTTTCATTGTTTAGAAGTCTTACATTGTGCTCCTAGATACACAGTATGTGACTTCATCCTTGATGGTTCTTTTGCCATTGCAGTGCTCTAAATATCTTATTTAAATTTTACTTAGTTTATTTTAATTGGAGGAGCAGGTGGGAGAAGCTGGAAAATTCCTCTCACTCTGCTCATTCTCTGAACTGAGATGAATATGGTGAACAAAATTTACAGGGGAGAAAAATATTTAATATATTTGGCTCTGATTAAAACTCCAGTTGTCTTCCAGGATCTATACAGTAGATGATTAATTACAAGTCACAATTCATGATTACCTGTCACAGAAAAATATTTTCCTTCAATTAAAAGAACACAATAGTATTTCTCTGAAGGGTATGCTGGAAAAAGTAAACTTTTAAGGCTTTCATTCAGCACTGCTCTCTGTTTTATTGTTTGGCGAGATAATTTAAGGACTTCAGATCAAAGTGTAGCATTACTCTTAATCTATACTGATGTGATGATGAATATAGCATTTTTTCATTCATATTCATGAATGAAATTAGATATTCATGGAAAAGTGGAATCTAGGCTTACAAAAGGCCAGTAAGCAAAAAAAAAAGATTCAGAGATTTTCTCATGTGACAGAACAGCAGACTGTATTGTCTTTATGCCATTTGGAAACCTGCTACAGTCAATGAACTTTCTTCAATTCTCTGTGTTTGAAAACACAAAGCAGAGTGGATCCTGCCATAAGGGGCTATGATTTTGTCCAGGGGATTAAGTAGTGATTCACAGAATTCTGTAGTTCCTTTTTATTTCTATTTTATGTATCAAAAATAGCATTTAAAACCCCTGTGAAATTGCTAATTGCTGTTTTTACTAGCATATTGGCACTGAGCAGTAGAGGCACACTTTGTTTCTGACAAGATCTGCTAGTATTTGCTCTGGAGCAGTGTTCTTAGATTTACATTTATCCTTTAAATATAGCATTAACCCACAGACACCCACTTACTGTCAGCATTCTTCACTATTACTCAGCAAGTGAAGGATTAACCATTTGGCTGTACTCCTACCTGATCTTGATTGCCTTTTGCCCATTCATGCTGCCACTATTGAGCTCCATCTAGGGTCTAGAGTCTGTGAGCAGCACTGCCAGGGCTTTGATTTCCAGAGGCTTTGAGTCCTTTGACCCACTGGCCACTCTGATAGCCCACTCTGATATGCCCTTCTCATAGCCGTCCTAATAAGTTTGCAGCTACCATTCTAGTGAAATTAGATGAATAATTAATAATTTCTGGACAATCCACTCAAAGCACTTTACAGGTAATGCGGACTTTACAGAGTAATGTAGCCAATTCATAGAGGGGGATTATTAGGAGGCCATGATTGGTAAGGGCCAATTGGAAATTTGGCCAGGACACCGGGATTACACCCCTACTCTTTTCGAGAAACGCCCTGGGATTTTTAATGACCACAGAGAGTCAGGACCTCGGTTTTACGTCTCATCCGAAGGACGGCACCTGTTTACAGTATAGTGTCCCCATCACTATACTGGGGCATTAGGACCCACATGGACCGCAGGGTGAGCGCCCCCTGCTGGCCCCACTAACACCTCTTCCAGCAGCAACCTTAGTTTCCCAGGAGGTCTCCCATCCAGGTACTGACCAGGCTCAGCTTAGCTTCAGTGGGTTGCCAGTTGTGAGTTGCAGAGTGATATGGCTGCTGGGTGATATGGCTGCTGGATAAATCCAGAAACATAGTGAATTATGTTTTCTTTGCAGGCCTGCGGCACTGGATAGGAAACCTGCTGAGCTCAGCACCCTGAATGATGTTGGCTACCAAATTCGGATCTGAAGAAGCCATAGGAACTGCCTATTCTTTTTCTTTCTATGGTGCTCTTTTTTTGCACTTTATCTTGAAATCTGTTTTTAATCTTTTATCTTTTTAATGGACACTGTGCAAATTTATATATACTTGATATTTTTATCGTTCTTAAAAGGTCTCAAAAGGACATGCAATTATGTACAGTGCACAATGAAAATAGGTCACTGAAAAGGAAGTGAGAGGTGAAGATTTTAATCACCTTTTTGGTGATTATCCCATGTCTACATTTATGTTGACCGAGGTCATCATTTTGTTTTGAGCTACCATCTTCTTTAAGACCTGAACAAATTCTTCAGGTGTAACCCTAAGAAGAAGGAACTTGTGTTTTGGATCAGGAAGCATTGGGCAGTATTAAGAGATTACAGGACTCTTCAGCATGAACAAAAGTCAAAACTGTACACTCCATAGACTGTCCTTTAAGTGGAGTAATTATGTAGCAAACAAAGAGTTTTAAGATTTTATTTATATATATGTATATTGCAGTAGAGGATTCCTTTAAGGGATGCCCTTTGAGTGTACAGTTGGGACAATGTGTTCTCCAAATGTTTCTGTTGTAATCTGTGAAGTAGCATAACTTATCTTTAAACAATATTCTTTGAAAAGTATATTTTCAGACAGCTGAGTACCAGTGGATTAGCCCAGCATTTGAGATCAAACGTCTCCCCTGAAGAATCTTGGTGAGCTCTGAACAGCCAGTGGTTCTGAGAAGAAAATACGCTTGGAATATAAGCCAACCAATGAACAAGGCTGAAAAGAAAACAATATGTTCTGTGGGACAGAAACACAAGCCTCTGCTCCCGTCAGGCTGATTTTTCATTTCTGTATGCCTACACTTCATTCCCAAGAGCATTCTTAGTAATGACATCTATGAACTCATCACTTACTTAATAGGGAGCCATTAAAATGCAAATACAATAAGCGTTTGGGATATTCAGGTATGGAGCTGTGTCCGCACATGTAGGCTCAAAGGAATAGGTAACAGCCCATTCCGTGCTGAAAGGTAAAGAAAAGAAAGACACTTGGCTGCTTCAGGTGTGATGAACATGTGACTTTCAAGTGTTTGTGATGCTTTATAAAACTGTTTCAAAGACTAACAGGTATTCAAGCACTGCATCTTTTATTTCAAGAGTCCTTTTTGAGAGGATTCCTGTATTACAGAAGAGGAGAAGCTGTGCATAATCCTAAATTAGCAGTTCTAGTTTGTATGGAATGGTGAGGGAGTGAGTATAATGTCATGTGAAGGTCAGGAGATCTGCACTCATCCTGCGACTGGTTTAGCTACAGTAGAATCCATTTGTTTAATCGCTGGGCGTTTTCCATTTGTTTAATCACTGAGAAATCCAGAATGAATCTGAAAAAAACTGACATGAGAGTCACTAAGCACATGGATATACAGTACTAATTGAGTAGCAATATAAATTAAAAAGGGCTCTCTAAAATCATGTGATGTGGTTCTGGAAGGCCCCTTAGTGTTGGCACATAGTTTTTCTAAAAGTATTAATTACATTATTGAATATACCTTCAAACTGCTAGATGCAGCAACCTGTGAGTAATCAGCTATATAATTCTTATCTCCACCACAAGAAACAAAATTAGTGTCAGTGTATTGTAACCCAGGGCTTTTCATGGCAGTAACGACAGATATAGAAGGGATCAGGTAATTGGAGGTATCATAATGGCATAAAATATGCTACTAATTGCTACACTGTCCATTCCAATGCACAAAGTATTTTCCTAATTTTAGTATTGTTGTTGCCTAATACGGTTCAAAACACTTTCTTGGATAGGAATGGCTTCATAAATGTATTCTAACCATGTTTAAGTACTTTAGCATTCAATATTCAGTCCAGAGGTAATTCTTAATGGAGTTATGATGGCAACTTACAAAAGAGGGCTAGCTACAATTCGAAACTGAGTTAAGGTAAATTGTCGACAAATATTTCTAATCCCTTGGTGAATTGATTACCTCTGTATGTGGGTGTAGAAATTACATTTTATGCAGAATGTGTAAGAAGGATAATTCTCATTTTAGTGTGACATGGCCTTTGGGGTTGGTATCAGTGCTTTGTAAATGGCACATTTGTTCTGATCCACAGCATGCGTGTGTATATATATATACTGAATGCGAATTAAGAGGGTGGTTTTAATGAAAATCTGAAGAGAAATGCAAGGATTCAAACCTTTATATTACACTTTAGCATTTTGGAATAAATTAGCAAAGCTTTCAGCAGGAGCCAGTTTCGTATTAACAGGTCTTTAAACACTTGCTCAGCATTGAGAAGCACTGCTCTTCACAATATGTCTCAGCACCAAGTTTTCTAATATGCTACAGCTGTAGCTGCTCAAGAAAAATGATGTGAAACTTTACTTTGCAATTAAACTATTATTTTAGCGTCTGATTTTACTTTTACCAAAGTCTCATCTGCTTTGATCTAGGCAGAAAGTTTAAAATCGAAACATACCTCGTTTTAACGGCACTCTGTTATGAGTGGGGAAGCAGTCAAGGTGCACACACAAAGGTCTTTTGGATTGGTAATTTAATAGCACAGTTTGGTATGACCGTGTAACTGAGTTTGTGTGACAGAAAAATTATATGTGATATTTTTATGTTTAATGTGGATATTGATTGGAACTCATTTTTCACTTTCAGCACAAAGATAATTGCTAGCATTTAAGTTACTTCATGTCCTCTTCACTGGACCTTCCTCAGTGTGAGCACACAGAAGATGTTTTCTACAGATTGGTAAATTTCACACTATTAATGACTTCTAAGGACTGATTTAATTTGTTTTTTACAGTTTGGAATGATTCTTTTGAAAGCAGTCAGAGTGCACAAATAATGCACACTTTTCACAATAACACACAGACATTTTAGTGCTAAAATTATTTAGCACTGGCTAGGTGTTGGGTGCCAGTTTTATAAAATAAAAATACTCATTTTAAGATTTCATATCCAGAATGGAATATTTGCAGTCTTTAAAGGAAAATAAAAATGTCTTTAGTATACACAAGGAAAAGTAGTTGCAGGAATCATGAATGTTTTTTTAAACATACTGGTATCTCGTATAACTGTTAGCCTGGCACATTCTTTTCAACTTGTGTTGTGTGCTGTTAATATCCATCTAGCAGAACCTGTAACCTCAACACTTTAAAACGTCATTAACAGACATGATTTGGTAACATTTGTGGAAGTATTAGACCCAATGTTTTGTATTTTACCAGTGAAGATACTTCAATACTGTTAAATTTAACCTTTTTGAAATTTGTTAGTTGCTAATTAATAGCACTCTTGCCCATCATGGGTAGGCCGTTTTACATGATTTTGGTGAGGACCTTGACATACTATTAATGCAAAACTGAATTTCAGTGTTTTGTAAGCATCTGGAGAAATTCACTTTAAACTGTAACTATCTACAACATATGAAATACTGTTGTCTTTCCTGTTATGTTTTCTTCAAAGGTGTACCTATGAAGATTGTGTTTTTCATAGTGAAAATTGCCCTTATTCGGGCTGCAATACTTAACCTAAATATGCTAAGCAAATTAAAGCCTGTTTCAATGCTCATCTCTTCTCCTGGTATTGCTGTGGAATGTGGTTTAGTACAAATACTACTCTTGATTGTTTTTTTTTACTGTTCTGCACTGTAAACAGCTACATTTTCTCTATCTTTTTTCTAATCATTGGAAGTATGTACTTGGTAGATTAGAATCCCTCAATGCAACAGATGACTGTAATGTTTTTACCTAGCATGTGTTTTAATAAACAATGGAATTTTCTTTGTAACTTGCTTGTTTCTCCCTCTGTTTAACCACATCCTGGTGTTGCTGATTTCAAGAGTTCCTTTGGTATTTTGTAGCCTGACTGTTGGTCATGCTTGTATTGTGGTAGTGTTAGTTAACTTAAAGTTCATTTGTCCCCATATATCCTCACTATAATCACTGCAATGCATGTTTTTAATCAAAGTAACCACTGTTGTGGTTGATTAACTGTTGAATAATAGAAAACTCTTCTATTAAGAAGGTGTTTGTTTGCATAAGAAAGATATGTTATAAAAGACAAAGGATATAAGGTAAGAATACAAAGGACAATGAAAAAATACATATGAAAACAAGAATGGAGTAAGAAAATATACAATATGTAAAAAGGTAAAATAAGGTGAGAAAGATAAAAGAAATATATGATAATTAAAAAAGACAATGTTATTGAATTAAAACACATTTTTTGGCAAACTTCCCAAATGCTCCTTTATCTTTCAGATGGGTTAGAGACTATTTTCTAACTGGATCTGAGATGAGGTGTTTCCCTGACAGCCCCTCATCTTTGGTACTTCTCCCATGCATGTTTCAGATGGTGTGAGCAAGCTTTTCATTGCTAAGAGTTGTAACATTCAGTTCACATGTAGCCGTGGGCTTCAGATCACCTGGTTAAGATATTTGTCCTGAAATAGCTACTGTGGAAGATGCTTTACAATTATAAACTTAGAATAATTTAAATACCTACAGAGAAATTCTACAATGAATCTATGAAGCCCTACAATTATCAGTTTTGTTCTACAAAATGTTAAAAAGTTCTTCAAACCAGGACATATGAGACAAACAATTAGAACTACTGAAAAAAAGTATTGTAAATGTATTTTCTTCAATACCATATCTTCCTTGAAAATGTTTTATAGTCTACTGAGAATGCTGTGAAAATGATATTTACATGAGCAAGCATTTCAGGCCAGAGCATCATTTGGATTACAAAAAAGATTAAATGTTGACTCCGGCTATACATCTATCCGCACATTAAATAACAAACCTAAGAGAGTTTATCGAGTAGAACATGTTTTCTGACAACTTTTGGTCTGACTCCCTTTTGGAATGGAACTACTGAACGGTGCAATATAAAATATAAGCAGAGAAAAGTTTCAGAAAAAGAATTCAGATACGAGCAAATTACCACTCGTCCTAAAGTTCACGTGGGACCCAAAATCCAGGTCTGAGTATAGATACCCTACCTGGGGTGTCAACTAAGCCTCTCTGGACATTGGAATTCAACATGTTCCCCAAATCAAAAGGTCTGAATGGGAAACAATCAAAACCATTGATCAAAGCTCTTTCAAGTGAAAGAGATTCAAGAATGCTTGTTTACAACTGTTGATCAGACTGACTCAGTTTTGGGATTCAGTTTCAGTGCAGTGCACTGCACCACCCAGGTCCCAGAGACTGAAAAAAAATTCTGAAAAAAAACATTTAAGCATTTAAGCAATCTTTATCGGAGTCTCTCTGGGCATCGGATCTTGACATTTTCCCCATACCAAAAAGTATGATGGGAATCAAAACTGTTGATCCAAGCCCTTAAAATTAAATGAGATTCAATAATGCTTGGTTACAACTTTTGATTGGACTGAATCACATTTGGGATAAAATTACTGCGCAATGCACTGCGCTACCCATACCCCAGAGAAATTCTGAAAAAAACATTTTCAGATAGAGTTAAAAAAAAACACTCATCCTAAACCTGATTTGGGCACTAAATTCCAGCCCTGAGCTTAAAAATTATCTACGTAGTGTGTGAATGTTAACCCTAACCCTACCTGGGGTGTCAACTGAGCATTTCCGCAATCTCTATCTGGACTTCTCTGGGCATCAGAATTTGACATGTTCCCCATACCAAAAAGTATGAGTGGGAAACAATCAAGAGCATTGATCAGAGCTCTTTCAAATGAAAGAGACTCAAGAATGCTTGGTTACAACTTTTGATCCGACCGAGTCATTTTTGGGTTACAATTAGCGCACGGTGCACTGCGACATCCAGGCCCCAGAGAGTTTCCGAAAATAAAATTCAGATAGGATCAAAAAAACATTTGTTCTAAAACTGATATGGGCCCCAAATTCCATGCCTGAGCTTAAAAATTGTCTAAGTAGTGTGTGAATGTTAACCCTAACCCTACCTGGGGTGTCAACTGAGCATTTCCACAAGCTCTATCTGGACTTCTCTGGGCATCGGAATTTGACATGTTCCCCATACCAAAAAGTATGAATGGGAAACAATCTAAACCATCGATCAGAGCTCTTTCAAGTGAAAGAGATTCAATAATGCTTGGTTACAACTTTTGATCTGAGTCATTTTTGGGTTACAATTAGCGCATGGTTCTTGACAGAACGTCCACAGGTGGTGAGGGTGGGCACCAACATATCCTCTACCCTGACTCTAAACACTGGAGCCCCCCAAGGCTGCGTGCTTAGCCCTGTCCTCTACTCCTTATTTATTCATGATTGTGTCGCCAGGCGTAACTTAAACTCCATCATTAAGTTTGCGGACGATACACAGTCATCGGCCTGATCACAGATGGTGAAGAGTCTGCATACAGGGAGGAGGTTGAAACCCTGGCAGCATGGTACCAGGAGAACAACCTCTCTCTGAACATCAGTAAGACTAAGGAGATGATTGTGGACTATAGAAAACACCAGGGAGGAGACCACACACCTATTTATATCAATGGGACTGCAGTGAAGAGGGTCAGCAGTTTTAAGTTCCTGGGAGTTAACATCTCAGAGGACTTAACCTGGACCCACCACACCAACATCGTGGTCAAAACAGCACGGCGGCGCCTATTCTTTCTCAGTAGGCTAAAGAGGTTTGGCATGCCATCAAATATCCAGGCCAACTTCTACAGGTGCACTATTGAGAGCATCCTGACTGGTTGCATCACTGCCTGGTATGGGAACTGCTCAGCCCAGGATAGCAAAGTACTGCAGAGGGTGGTGAAGTCAGCACAGCTCATTACCGGCTGTGAGCTACCAAACATCCAGGATATCTACTCAGCTAGATGTCTGAAGAAGGCCAGTCATCCCAGTCACAAACTGTTTTCCCTCCTACCGTCTGGTAAACGGTACCAAAGCATTCGGTCCAAGTACAACAGACTACAGAACAGCTTCTACCTCCAGGCAATAAGACTGCTAAATAGACAACCTTCAGCTCCTTTAGTAAATCACCTGTAATTGCTACATGGACACACAGTTTTCACTATATTCAGCATAACCGGACTACTTGTATATATTGCATACACCATGGACACATAGCAGCTCTACTCATATTGAGTTTTATTCAATTACTATTACATCTATTATTATGTAAACTTATTTTCATAACCTCAATTTTGTGATTTTTGTGTTTTTGTGATTTCTGTGATTGTTGTAATTTTTGTGAGCTCGTGGAACAGACATTTCATTGCCAGCAACTACTGCTACATGCTGTATTGGTGTGCATTTGATAAATAAACTTTGATTAGATGTTGATTTGTGCATTGCGACATCCAGGCCCCAGAGAGTTTCCGGAAAAAAAATGTCACTTAGGAGCAAAAAAAACACTCTTCCTAAAACTGATCTTGGCCCCAAAATCAAGACCTGAACTTGTCTAAGTAGTGTGTGAATGTTAACCCTAAACCTAACTGGGGTGTCCACTGAGCAATTCTGATAACTCTATCTGAAGATATCTGGGTTGACATGAGTTTCGGAAAAAAAACCTTCAGCTAGGATCACGAAACCACTTTTCTTCGACATGACTTGGGCCAAAAATCCAACACTGAAAATAAAAATTCTCTAAGTAGTGTGTAAATGCTGAT